TATTGTATTTTTGTTGACTTAGCCAATAGTGATTAGATGAAGTGTAACAAGTCCCTCTACTTGAAAGTTTGAGACACCTTTTGGAAAATAAACTATCTCCTGAATGGATAGCAAATAGGAGATCATTAATAGAGGAAGAATGGTCTCCCACATAGTGGGATCCCTTTCTGTTTTGATGGTTGTTTCTTTTGCTGTGCAGAAGTTTTTGAGTTTGATGTAGCCCCGTGTATTCATTTTTTCATTTGTTTCTCTGCCTTAGGTGTTGTATCAGTGAAAATTCTGTTGCGTATGATGTCTGAAATTTTGTTGCCTACATTTTCGTCTAGAATTTTTATGGATTCATGAATCACATTTAAGTCTTTTATCCATTTTGAGTTTATTCTTGTGTATGGTATAAATTGGTGTTCTAGCTTTATTTTTTTGCAGTTAGCTGTACAATTTTCCCAACACCGTTTATTGAAGAGACTGTCTTGACTCCACTGTATGCTCTTGCCACCTTTGTCAAATATTAATTGAGCATATTGTCTTGGGTCAATTTTTGGGTTCTCTATTCTGTTCCACTGGTCTATCTGCCTGTTCTTGTGCCAGTACCAGGCTGTTTTGATTACAGTGGCTTTGTAGTATAATCTGAAATCTGGTAACATGATCCCTCCTACTTTGTTCTTCTTTTTCAAGATTGCTGTGGTTATTTGGGGTCTTTTTTAGTTCCATATAAACTTTGGAGTGTTTGTTTTAGTTCTGTGAACCTGAAACACCAATCAGAAAGAATATATGTACCCCTATGTTCATACAGCACTATTCACAATAGCTAAAATCTGGAAACAACCCAAGTGTCCATCAGTAGATGAGTAGATAAAAAAACTGTGGTACTTGTACACAATGGAATACTATGCAGCTGTAAGAAAGAAAGATCTCTTATCCTTTGAGATGGCATGGAAGGACATGGAGAGTATTATGCTAAGCAAAACAAGCCAAGCAAAGAAAGACAAATATTATATGATCTCACTTATTTGTGGAATATAATGAACTAAACAAACTGCTGAACAAAATTAACCCAGAGACATAGAGGTGGGGTACAGACTATCAAGCCTCAGAGGAGGGAGTTTTGTGGGGGGAGAGATAAACCACAGAACTTACATGCATGTATGCATGACCAATGAACAGACAACAGAGCTGGGGAGGAGGTGAAGGGGAAAGGAAGGAGGTGTCAATGGGGAAAAATGAAAAACATCTGTAACAAAATTAAATTAATAAATAAAAAATTTTAAAAATAGAGGAAGAATGAATTATAGGAATTTATAAAAGAAAAAACAAAACATTGATTTCCAGACCAGAAAACCAATGGGATAAACAGGAAATTATGCTTTGTGATTGTTGTGAACATTTCTTACATTTAATGTAAGTAATAAAATTTTCCAGGCACTACTCTTCTTTTAAAAAAAATACGTGAGGATATTTTTTCATTAATTTTTTTTTTTAGAATGGAAAGGAGGGAGGGAGAGAGAGAGAAACATCTATGTGAGAGAGACACACAGACTGGTTGCCCTCCACATGACCCCAACTGAGGTCAGGGATCAGTCCTGCAACTCAGGTACTTCCCTTAACTGGCAATTGAACCCTAGACCCTTTGTTCCTCGGGCCAAAGTTCTAACTGCTGAACCAAACTGGCGGGGCTCTAGTCACTACTCTTATAGAATTTCATTTTTCTGAAAATATGTCTTTTATATTCTTAAGAAGGTAAATCTAGGATGATCATAAGTTTTTTAAATTTGTTTTTATTAAAGTATATTTGGCAACTATATGATATTAGTTTCAGGTGTACAACATAGTGATTTGACATTTATATACCTTATGATGTGATCACCATCGTAACAATCTGTCACTGTAAAGTTATTGCAGTGTTATTGAGTATATTCCCTGTGCTGTACATGATGTCCCATGGCCTACTTGTTTTATGACTGGAGGTTTGTTCTTATTCCCTTCACCATTATTACCCTTCCCGACCCCCCTCTGGAAATCATCAGTTTATTCTCTGAATCTGTGAGTCTGTTTCTGTTTTGTTTTATTTGTTTATTTATTTTTTTTACATTCCACATATAAGTGAAATTATACAGAATTTTTGTCTTTATCTAACTTACCTCACTTAGCATAACACCCTGTATTTTCTGTTTTTTAATATTTCTGAGCATTTTTCCTCACAAGTTTTAAGCAGCATTACAAACTACAGTTAGAAAACAAAATCCCATTTTAGCATGGAACTTCCGCCTATGGAAATGCTTTTGTACCTTTTCACGACCAAACCTCCTCTGAAGGAAGGCTAATTATAGGCTTCAATATGCACCTGGGTTAAAATAAACTTTTAAGCAGACTTTTAAAATAAACGGTTTTTAATTATTATCATTATGCAAAAACTATATAAATGCCTTTAATTGTACTTATAAAGTTACATTTGCTATAATCACCTCTAATATCCAGGAACAACCGAAGGGTTTTCTTTTTTTGTGTGTGTGTGCGATTGAAATAAAAATAGAAGAAACCCTCATTATTGATTCACAGGTTGTTTTATTTTATTTTATGAGCACAAATGTTATATTTGAAATATACTACTAAAATTTAACATGTATTGATTAGTAGTTACTAAAATTTGAATTGAAAATATGTTTAATTACTGGAAGATCAAAGGTCAATATATAAAATATTCAACTATAATATTAAATTTTATGATTTAGGCTTAGATAATTGGCACAAAATTTTATAGAGAGTGAGATTGAACATGTACATTTTAAGAAGAATAATGCTTCATTTATTTAAAAATGATTTGATGCTGTCATATTTTTATTGTCTCATTAAAGAAATGATATTGCTTACAGTTGCGGGGTGTGTCTGCAAATGAATCAGAGAATAACTAGTTTTCACCCAACTTTGCTAAAAGAATGCACTACAGATCTATTTTTATTGAAACTTAGCCAAACAATTTTTAGAAAGCATGTGCAAACAAACCAGACACCTTTAAAGCAGCAGCTTGCGGCGGGAGGATGGAAGGGGTGGGGAGAGAGGCAGTGTGCTGTGATAATACAGGGTGGCATGCTGGCTGACTCGACTTGATTTTTTTCTTTTGATCCCCCCCCCCTTCTCCAGCTACTTTTAATAAGAAACATGTGAAGAAATGTGTGAGAATTAAAGATGTATTTTACATGCACTGTTTGAAAATTTTTATTTGGGGCTAGAAAAAGTATATTTTTTTCTAGCTATTAGAGTACTGATTCGATTAAATGAACTATATGTTTTTTTTTAAAAATATTATATGTAATAAAAACATCTAGTAACAATCAAAAAATTCTGATGTTACTGTACTGAATTGAGTATGCTTACCTATGGTCACAAAACTTAAGTATTATGTTATTGACCACTGTTTTTAACCAGCTCCAAATGGAAGATGCAAAGCTATGTCTTGTCAGGGATCATAATAATTGCTACATTAAGAGACTGGGAGGTAGAAGCTGAGATCTGTAATTATATATTTGCAGTTATTTCCAGCCTTTGTTTGAATAGTATATGTAACACATCCATCCTTGCTGTATCAAAAAGATCTTCTAGTCCTGGGACAAAGTGCAAACTTCCTAGTTTGGCATCAGTCAGGATCCAGTTGAGAAAACAAACTATTCTTTGTTTTTTTACTAAGGGGTATTTATCATAGGTAGTTAATTACATAGATGTATTAGATGTACATGGTTTAATGCATTAGTGCTTCCTTTAGACTTTTGCATGATTCCACGTACTTTTGCTGAATGAGTATGAAGGAGTTAACATTTGTTTTTGTCTTCCCCTGTGATATTTTCATGTTATATATTTAAGAATGATAACAATGCTTTTGGAGGGTTTTCTTTGTTATTTCTTGAGTAATTGACCACCTTTTTCAATAATAATCACCCACAGAATGCATGCATATAGACTACCTTTATCAAGAATATTTTGTCAAATACATATATAATATAAGCTTTGATGATGATATTTTGTTATGTATATATTTATATGTATAATATATATCTGAGAATTGGAAAGGTTCTAGAAATTAACCAATTTAAAGAATCCCAATTTTAAGATGATGAAACTGAGAATTTCTTTAAATATTTAACTAATTTGTTCTTGATTTTTGCAGTATCAGCCATTTCCTTGGTAAAATACATATGCATATTTACACACAGATACACACACACACACACACAAACACACAAAAACACAAGCTTGAGAGAACATCAGAATTTAAAAATGTAAAAATAAAGTGAAGAATTTTCCACTCTACATCTCAAAAAATCTCCAGTGCACTCTCTCTTAACATTATATTAATTCATTTGAAATCTACATATTTCAATATACATTTATATATAAACATGACGTATAGATAAATATATATTATATATTAAAGTGATTTAATAAAGTCTAGAAAATATTTTAATTATAATTTTATAGTGATAGCATACAATGTATGTATTAGGAATAAAAAAGATACATGACTAATTACAGGTATTCCACTTTTAATATAGGTAAAATTTTCACAACAAATTGAACTCATAACATAAGACATTAAATGCTTTTCAATAACATTTTGAACAATAAAGACAAAATTTAATTACTATCAAAATAATGTGTAAAATTCAAGTGACTTAAATGTCACAATTTTTAAAAATATTTAATTTAGAATTCAGATATTTTAACTGTCTTAAACAGTATTATAGAATATTCAATGAAATAAGAAAATACTGTCCAAAAACCAGTCCCTTGCAAATTACTGGATGCTATTTTTTATTACTTATGCCTATATTTCTGTTTTTCATTTCTCTCATTTATTAGTCTATATTTAACGAGATTATACCATTTAATATTTTTACTCAGTAAAAATACTGTTTGTGAATTTCTGGAACATAATAGTCAGCCATCCTTGTTCAAGTCTGAATTAGTGTATTTCTTTTATATATGTGATAGTATCAATTATCTTTCTCTTACAATATGAATGGAATCATTGCTGATTTTCTATGCATATAAGAACTGAATTTCTTCAGATACGTCTTGTGCTTCTTTTGTGCCCACAAAGACATCTGGATACTCATCAGAAGTGTAAAAATTCCAACTAGAAGAAAAAAGAAATAGTTATTCTTTCTTTCTCATTTCTGTGATGGATGTATCAAGTTATTTTAGAAAAAAAGATCAGACATTGTTTTTAAAGTGTTTCTCAAATATTTCATAGTTTTCTATCAGTTTTATGTACTCATATTCATTGCATAACTTAATATGTTCAATCAGCATTTAGTGCATGGTTTTATATACATAAAAAGTATATAGCAGAGGTAAAAATAAATCCATAATTTTTTTTAATCCTTACCCAAGGATATTTTTCCATTTATCTTCAGATATAGTTGGAGGGTGGGGGGTGAGGGGTAGAGAGAGAGAGATGTGAGAGAGAGACATAGAATGGTTGCCTCCCACATGACCCCAAATGAGGCTGGGGACTGAACCTCAACTGAGGTACATGCTCTTGACATGAAATGAACCTGCAACTCTTTGTTATGTGAGCTGACGCTCTAACTGCTGAGCCAAACCAGCCAGGGCATAAATTCATAATTTTTATATCCCATTGCGACCAAATAAAGAATTTTTATATCAGAATTTTTTAGTAAGAGTTTCCATATGCATATAATATACCTCTACCTACATACACAAAAATACATATGGCACACCACATTAATTATGATTCAAAGTTTTTGTACAGTGGAACAAAAAATGGATATAATAGATATAACAAATATCCCTTCTATTACATGCAGTTAATTAAAATTTGGCATCCTTGCATGTGTTAAAATGCCTAGCAAAGATTACACATTCATACTCTCAGCCTTCCCTTCACAGGCATCATGGACACCTGAAGAGCACACACACCTGTCTGTGCACAGGCACAAGAGAGAGTTTCAAGTTCAATGTATTATTACCACCACTTCTTTTAACCTCATCTCCTGACTTGGATTAGGCCACAATACATAGAAATACATAGCAAGTAATGTCACACACACACACACACACACACACACACACACTTTTTATTGTTGACACTATTGCAGATGTCCCAGTTTCCCCACCTTTGTCCCCTTCCACCCAGCCTCCCCTTCCCTATCACCATCACTATTATGTTTTAAACTGCTTAGAAAATAAAAATGAAAGCATAAAATTATTCTGCAAACATGACAAACTTTAGTACTATAGCACCTTATTCTCAGAAATCACTTCTAAAGATTCATTTACATCAATTGTTGATAATCCTAGGTCTTACCAGGTAGTGTCTGTGTCATTACTGTGAAGCTAATCCATGATCCAATCTGTTAGATTAAAACACAAGTTAACATTTATATATGAGTAATCTACAGATTTGTTCACTTGTAGCATTAAATAGGCAATTCAAAGCTTCAAGCACAGTAGAAAAACTATAGGTAGAAATTACTTTCCCCTAAATAATTTGCATTAAATATGATTAAGTCACAAGCAAGTCTATAAAATAATATCATATTCATAAGAAAATGGAAGACTGTGTTCCAAAATGTTCAAAAAAATAAAATCTTAAAACATCTCAATATATTTTATATAAAGATTGTAAAAATTTTTTTAAATATAGTAAGTATATGCACAAATATACTTTTTTTTCCCAAAGAAAATTGTGGTAGAAATGTTCCAGTTTTCTAAGCATATAACTTGAATTTAAATCTATATCATAATTTATATCTCTGACTATGCTATATCTATAGATAAAATATTATCATATATTAATCCATAACACAGGTAAATACATAAATGCATACATTTATTATATCATAAAATAAAGTTCAATTATTTACATACATAACAGCATACCTCATAGGTATAGTTAGGACATGAAACCAGGAAAAACATCCATGTGAAGGGGTTATAATTTGGACTTGGAAAACAGGCATTAGTTCCTTTTAGAAAGAAGAGTAAAATGTCAATGATGCTACATATTGCAAATGTGATCATATATTTGTTATATAATTCTAAATTCCCTAGAGCAACTATATACCACATGAAATGTCATCATACATTTATAGAAACCCATTTCACAAATTACTCAGAAGAGAACCATTTTCAAATGTTATGACCTTTTGACTCAAATAGAATAATTGTCACTTGCGGACCATGTCCATAGCTATGTTGCTGGAAAATTACAGAACAGACCATGATAATTAGTTCTTTAAGAGTTTAAATAAAACAATATATAAATGTTACTTCAAATATCATAGCTGCAGTGGCATTGCATACTGAGATTAATAAATGCATTTTAATATTTGCATGCCTCTTCCTATTCTCCTTTAGTGTCAAAAATGATAATTTGGGTTGAGATTATTAAATACTTCAAACCTCTCTCTATTAAATTAGTGAAAGTCCAAAGGAAATCTCATAAGGATGTCACTAATATTAAAAAATTGTAAAAATCTCTCATAAGAAGATTACAGTGAGTATCAATGTAGTTAGTATTCAGAAATACCACCTAATGTGTTTCTGTTCAGCAGTCAGGATTATTATTTAAAGCTCTTATTATTCTTAACGTATTGTCACTTGATTTTTGTTAGTTATTTTTCACCTTTCAAATATTTTTGAGAAATATTTTAGATAACAAATTTATAATGACTTCAAGTTGACCTTTGAGCTGTGGCAGTCATAAAAGTAAATGTGAATTATAATATTACTGTTATTCCCCATAGCAAGATTTAATTAGATAAACACATAAACGAATCTCTTTAGTTAAAATTCTAAAGTCATAAAAAAATGTCAGTATGTTTTCAAAATTGGAACTATTGTTGAAATATCAAAGTAAAACATATATTAGGTCCTGTGCAGATTTTATACACTGCTCATTTCAAGATAGTAATAAATACATATGCCATTTAATATTACAGGTTTGTTGGGTAACATTTATTTAAACATCTTTGGTACCCATATATACATCAAAAGAGATATAATTGAGGAAATGTTCCATGTTATAATAACTGAATATCGAAGTAGGAAGTTGCATACAAGGTAATCCGGGTAAAAGCTACTTTTTGACTGATCAGCTCCTGGAGGTTGTGGATGATCAGGGGTCCACAAATACAAATGTCTTCCAGATATAGTTTGTAGATTGAATAACAATATGACTTGTGACACTGAAAAATGTATATAGATATTGTCTTAAGTGTACATGGTTGCTGTTAATTTTAATAATAGCTTAGTTTAGGCATTACTCATTTAATTCATTCCCACCATGTTTTCTCAACCTACACTTACTATTTTTAATAGATCATCTATTAAATATAAGGCTGAAGATTTTTTACATTACAATGCTGCACCACCTACATTTTTCAAGCATAAACGGTTTATTCCACAACTTCTGGGAGTACCGCAGGTAGGGGACCTTCAGCTGTCGGCCACCCTGTGAGGGAGGTGTGGTTAAGGGAACAACGTCACCTGAGGTTACACTCACTTTTTGGTTTGGTCCTAATTTAGTATTTGATCAATATATCAAATTGATGTCTCAATAGGACAACATTGTTATTTCATCTCAGCTTTATAATGCTCCATCAATTCATCTGAGACTCTCACTGATAACTGTATTGCTCTCAATTTCCTACCCCAACATAATTTCTTTCTTACCATACAAAAAATCACTCCCTAATACACCTCCTGACTGCTAATCTCCATCTCATTATCTGCATCTCAGGAAACTAAACCTACCGTAGTTGACACCAGGAGTAGCCAAAAAGCAGATGCTGGAATGACGTTTTAGAGCTGACTGATCTACTGAAGAGCCTGCAATGAGCACCCCATTATAGATGGTTAGTTCAGAACAGACAGCTGCTGGTTCAAGGGACAAGTGCAAAACCATTTACCAGTGGTGTACTGGGATGTTATACTGGTGGAAAGGAATGCTTCATTTTGCCCAGTGGAATTGAGTGCTGATTACTATCAATGTTCTTGACAAAGGTACCTAAAACTGAAACTGATAATTTACAATTAAAAGCCAACTGTGAGAATTTACAATTAAAAGCCAACTGTGAGAATTTACAATTAAAAGCCAAGTGTAAGAACTAGAGGATCTCCTTGGTACCATAAGAAGAGGCTCTACTCACCTGCTATGAGACAAAGGCTGAGAAAGCTGAAGACCTGGTACAACACTTATCTGTAAGTCTAGTCAAGATCCAAAGAACATACAACACTAATTCAAAGCAGGTCTGCTAAGCCAAGGTTTTGTCCACAAAAATTGTGGAATATGTAGATCTTCATGAACTCCCTGAATCTAAGAATTGACCCTCTTCTCCCTAGTAAAAGCACACCCAGCTTCCTTAAAGGTAGTACAGAGGCTACTATGTTGCAATAAAATCTCCTTAGGGTTTTTTCCCATGACCTTTCTTAACCCCTATACTACAGTAAGATAACATCACACATAACCTACCTGAGGTTGTTCTGAGCTTCGTAAGAAAAAAGGGGATCACTTCCCAATGGAGCTGCAGGGCCCAGCTAGCTTGAACCAGCAGACTATAGGAGAATACACATGTGATTGTATTCTGAGGGTGCTTAATTAGAGGGTAAAATATAAAATCAGGTAAGGGTGGGTTTATTTTTTTGGAGCACCCTCTTGTCCTGCTAAAATGGTACAAACTTACTGACGCACCTCGAAACATGAACAAAACAATAGCCCACAGTAAGGGAGAAAGGAGTATTATAATTCCCATGGCAGACAGGGAAAGTTATTAAGTGGCTTAGAAAAGTAGGAATCTTAAATAGGTAGTCTCTATAAAGCTGAAATCGGAAGACCCTTTACATAGGAAGACATCGTTTCCTGTGCTCCATATTCCCATATTCTTACCAGTGCCTGGGAGGAACCAAAAAATACATCATTTTCAACAACTACAAGAATGTGTTCATGAAAGGACACCACCTTCACTGAGATTTGAACTGGCTTGCTGCAGTACCGGGATGACTGGAAGTGATATCTCTTAGAATTGGGATGAGCAGTAGTGATAGTGATTGGACTAAAGGAGCCCTTCATCTCCCTCAAATAGAAGCCAGGTCTAGTTTCAGCACCTTATTGTCCTAAACCAGAATGAGAGGTGAGTTCAGAAGAAGCTTGATCCACAGAAAGTTATGTCTTGATTAAAAGGACACAATGGAGGCTAGATTGATGGATTTGCGACATTGCTATTTTCTAAATTTAGATAAAGACGGTAAATTAGAGATGAATAGTCAAAAGACTGGGGGCAGCTAGCTCTATAAAAAAATAAAATAAAATAAAAAATCTGTGTTCCTTTCCCAGTTTTGAGACTTGAACCAATTGTAAGACACTAAACTCACTGACGCATGAACAGTCTGAGATCCCAGGAAGAAAGATCCTATATCCCAAAAACAAGTATACGTAATGATTCTCACATTCCCTCACTAAAATAACTTCCCGAAATCATCTGTGGTAATTTGTTTGGTGGCCTGTACCCTAGTGGAAGTAGGGTATTACTACCTTTCAAGCACTGTTTGACACAGTGTGTCCTCTAGGGCCAAAGTGGTCATTTTCTCAGACACTGAATTAATATCTGAACTATAGACACTTTGTAGTTTGCACAACTTTCACATTGTTTTCTTGGCCTTTAGGGGAAGAGCTATGCAGCAGGGAAAGCCAAGTGGAAGGTTCTGAAATTGCACCCATGCTTCTGTAAATATAAACCAATATTGCACCCCAGGGGCAGATTAGTGCCACACTTAAGGTATAAGGTGTGCTAGGGCAAGGTTCTAGAACCCTTATATTACCATTTAATTAACGTTTATAGGCTCCACAAAAGCCAGATGCATTTTGGAGGATGACAGTGGAACACTGTAAATCTGATCAAACATTATCCACTGTTGCAACTAAGATGACCAGATATGGCGTCCTTGATAGAACAGATTCACTCAGGTTTGGGTATATGGACATAGCCACTGAGCTGATAAATGTGTGTGTATTTTTATTGTTATTAGAAATGGCGGTCAGAATAGAGTATTTTTTCTTAAAATGGACAATAGTATACATTTTCAATTTTTTTTCTAGGACCATATTAGTAGTCCCATCCTCTGTCATAGCTCAAGGAAACCCAGACTGGTTGGACATCACACTGGAAATCACACTCTTGCACTCTTATCAGTAACATCACGCTGTTCATACTGGATGAATAAGAAATGGCTGGCATGTTGGAGGCTTTATTAAGATGTGTGGTTTACAGGAGGGGTGGGTTAGCTAACAAGTAGTATAACGTTTTAGGGGCCCATCATCAGTAAACTGTTTAAAGGCCCAATGATCATGCAGTATCACCTCCAAAGTCAGAGGAAATATACTGCAATTTGCACTTCTCACTATTAAAGAGGAAGCAGAATGACTTGCAGGCCTCTTCCATTAGGGAGGGATTGTATTACACACCAGGGAAATCTGCTCTGAACCATACACCATGTAGCACAAAAAGCTACAATAATTTAGTAGTGTTTAAGTCCGAGAACTGCAGCAGACTCAAGTTTTAGTGGAAGCACTTCTGCACTTGGGTAAACTCTCTATATTAAACCTATCGATGGTGGGGAAAGATAATGTGTGGAACGTATGGCAAGCCAGTAGGATCATCAAGATGCTGAACCCTGGTCTTCTGGAGCAAGGCCATGGCATTTGCCATGGAGAATTATGGTTATTTGAGACAATAGTCCTGGGATGCTACCGAATTGTGGTAAAGATTCAGATAGTATTCTAGGGACACCAATGTCCATATGGTCTTAGCTGCATTATAAGCTGAGTTCCATTAGGCATAAGTCATAGGTTGGGTGAGACCAGAAATAATGCATTGTAAGATAGAAATGGTATATTCAGACAACAGGGTACAAGCAAGCTGCATTGGCAGGTGTTGTAGACAACCACATCGTTCCCCACTGTGGAACCAGTGTGTTCTCTTTAACTCACATACGTGGCCACTTAGTTAGACCTTAAGCCCAGTTGAAAACTGAGGAAGAGCCCGAGCTTATTTCAGAGATGAGTTGGCTGGTACATGGGTATAAACCAGAAATGCATGAAAGCTACATACAGTCACATTCAGGAATCACCTTGCAAGACAGTAATGTGGGGTGTGGGGTTCTCCCAATGGGCAGAGTTTCTGGAGTTGAAAAAGATGTGTTGAAGGCTACACTACACATAGAATCACATGCTGTGCCAAATGGACCAACAGATCAGGAATGTCCATGAATATAAGTGTAGACATGAAGCATGTAGCTCTTTTTCACCTGTTAATGCCCAACAAGAAGCATCTATAATAAAAGAGACAATAAAAAAAGGTAACTCAGTCAGTCAGTGTTGGCCAGCCTCTGTCATGGATTTCTCTGCTGATGGGAAACGGGTACATGAGTGGAGTATGGTGGCAGTGATGGAAGCTATGTTTGGGCTCCATGGCATGGGTGCCCACTTACCAGGGCAGATCTAGCTCAACTGCTTCCAAGTCTCCAAATGCTAGCGATGATGAACAACAGTAACACCATAATAATCCACAGTTTCTCCTGGAGAATAATTAGGTTATTTAATGGACCCCATTTATACTAAAAGAGGGCAGCAATTCATATTGCAGGAAAAGACACATACTCTGTGGATTTTTTTTTTTTTTCTAGGCAAAAAAATAAAATCCAATTAACAATGCAGAGAAGATTAAATTGGCATCTGATTTCTTAAGGGCAGTGATTTTAAACCTTTTTCATTTCATGGCACACACAAACTAATTACTAAACTTCTGCAGTATACTAAAAAGAGTACTTTTTGACAATCTGACCAAAGAATAAAAAAAGGTATACTTTTGATTAATTCATACCAGACAGCTATTGGTGTGTTGGCTGTTGTACTTTTTTTATTTCAAAATCGAAGGGAAAAGAGGTCATGTCCCCTGACTAAATTGTTAGGTAGTGCAGGTTTTAAACATTCTTGTGGCACACCAGTTGGAGATCACTGCTCAAGAGCAACATGGATACTGGATATGTAAACACACACACATTCACACACACGCATGCAAAGTATTTCTTTCACGAATAGTTTCAAAGTCATGTTAGATTTTGAAAATATGTGTTAATTTTTTTTTCAAGTAATGACACCTGCAGATTACTATGCTAAACAAAAATAAGCCAGTTAAAGAAAGACAAATATCGCATGATCTCACTTATACGTGAAATCTAATGAACTAAATAGGTCCAGTGGCATGGATGCATGGAATAGACTGACAGATCTCAGAGTGGGGGGGTGAGGGGAACAGGAAGAGATTAACCCAATAATTTATATGCATAGCCCATGGACACAGATAAAAGTGAGGTAAAGGCCTGGGGTACGGCAGGGCTGGGCGGAGTGGGGCAAAGGGGGGAATGGGAGACATCTGTAATACTGTCAACAATTTAAAGAATGCATTAAAAAATAATAATAATGACACCATTTTCCAGATAGATGAGGAAACTTGAGCAAGATCACATTGTTAGAAAGTCAGAATCAAGACTAAAATATGCGATATTTATAACTTTGTCAATGGTAGCATTATAATAGGATTGTATTGCTTTGTGTCTACATAAAATAAAATAAAAATTTAATTAGACTACCAGATTATCATCTGGTGTTTCATCATATACATCCAAGGAGAATTCAGTAGATCCATGAATTTGGTTCAGATAAAAAAGACATTCTATCTCTTAATAAAACATAGGCTTTAATTTTTTGCAAATGCAAACAACAAACCACAATAGTATTTGCTTAATCTGTTAATTTTTTTCAGCCAAGAAAGTGCAGATATTTTTTTTTTTTATTATTATTTTTTTTTTATCCTCACCCGAGGATATTTTTCCATTTTTTGTACAGAGAGAGTGGGAGGGAGAGAGAGGAAGGGAGAGAGAGTGAGAAACATCGACGTGAAGGGACACATCGAGTGGCTGCCACCCGCACGACCAACCAGGGCTGGGGACAAACTGCAACCGAAGTACGTGCCCTTAGCGGGAACCGAACCCGGGTCTCTCCGGACCGCAGGCCGACACTCTAACCGCTGAGCCAAACTGGCCAGGGCAGTGCAGATATTTTTTAAAAATGTATTGGTTAATCCTCACCTTAGGATATTTTTTTCATTGCTTTTTAGACAGCTTAGAAGAGAGGGAGGCAGAGGGAGGGAGAGAAAGAGAGCAAGAGAGAAACATTGATGTGAGAGAGACACATCAATTTGTTGCCTCCTGCATGTACTTCAACTGTGGGGACAAACATTGAACCTGCAACCCAGATATGTGCCCTTGACTAGGAATTGAACCTACTACCCTTCTGTGTGCAGGCTGACAGTCTAACCACTGAACCATACCCTCTAGGGCAGATATTTTCTTTCTTTTTTTTTTTTTTAATTTATTTTTGTTACAGATGTTTCTCCTTTGCCCCGCATTGACACCCTCCTCCTGATCCCGCCCCCTCACCTACAAAGGGCAGATCTTTTCAAATTTTATTAGAGTTGTTTTAAATATTACCATATATAATTACATAATTTATAGTCATTGATTCTCAAAAAAGTTGTTATTACAGTGTTATTTAATGTTGCAATAGGAAGCATATTATTATATTACACCATTTTTCATGTATTTTCAAATATTCTAATATAATAAATTTCATGTGTAATGCTACGTATTTTATTATATATAAAAATTATCCTGAAAAGTGTTTCATATGCTTCACAAGACTACCAGAAATGTTCAAGGCAAGAAAATGTTAAGAAATTCAGGTAGAAATTAAAACACACTTATAGAGACAACTATACCTCTATATTTTTAGCTGGACTGATCACAACATGAAGCCCAAATTTTGACCATTGCTATTTGAAATATACAATTCATTTATGTCTTGTATAAATAAATATTTGCAAATCCCTACCTATAATTGAACCTGACTGAGAGGATTCATTTACCCAAAATATCTTTAAATGATATAGACTCTAAATTTTTTCTAATATCTTTGACTAACTACCAAATTTCAAATGTTCTCCCAGGCATTGCTTGTATCAATCACTGTGCAAATTAGATCAGGACTGAGCATTAACCTAAGTAATCTGGATATTCATCAGTGGATTTCATAGTGCTTTACTTTTCAATCATGTGTTTACTTTATCACATTTTAGAGTGAGATATTTGTTTGACATGTTTGGGGAGGAGTTTGGGTGTGTTCATGCAAACTTTATTTTAGAGAAGACATTATTAGGGTACATGATTTAGTTCAATTATTTGGAAAACTGAGGCATTAAAGGTTAAGGATTGAGTCATATCTTATGTTTCCAACTATTGCTATTCACCATTCAAAAATTGTTTTTTTTTTAAATTATGTATAGGCCCAGCCAGTGTGGCTCAGTGGATTGATCATCCTCCCATGGACTGGGAGGTACCTGTTTGATTCCCAGTCAGGGCACATGCCAGGTTGTGGGCTAGATCCCCGGTAGGGGGCGTGGACGAGGCGGCCGCTCCATAGTTCTCTCACATCAATGTCTCTTCCTCTCCCTTCCTTTCTCTTAAAAAAAAAAAAAAAATCAATAAAAACTTATTTTTAAAAAATTATGTAGCCCTGGCCAGTTTGGCTCAGCAGTTAGAGCATCGACCTGTGGTCCAGAGAGACCCGGGTTTGGTTCCTGCTAAGGGCACATATCTTGGTTGCAGTTTGTCCCCGGCCCTGGTTGGGTTGTGTGGGTGGCAGCCACTAGATGTGTCCCTTTCACGTCGTTGTTTCTCTCTCTCTCCCTCCCACTCTATCTGAACAAAAAATGGAAAAATGTCCTTAGGTAAGGATAAAAAAAAATGATGTATAGTTTGTGTACAATATTATATTGGTTATATTAGTTTCAGGTGTACAATATAGTGATTCAACATTTTTATAATTTACAATGTGATCACCCCACTAATTCTATAATTTTCTGTCACCATGTAAACTAATCACAATATTATTGAATATAGTCCCTTCCCCATCTCACTTGTACCCCACACCCTTCCTAATGATAGCCACCCCTTGGTCTCTGTTTCTGTGAGTCTGTGTTTTAGATTCCATATAAGTGAACCATAGAGGATTTGTCTTTCTATTTAAGACTTTTAAAAACAATAATTAACATAATTTACTCTAGAGAAGATTTTTTAAAAAGGCATGGGGACTAACCTGTGTGATTGGGATGAGCCAATACTACATTGATGAAATGATTTCCAGCTTCACAAATCTGCAAAATATTTTATTTTTTAGTGTGATATACCTGTGCCTCTTAAAAATGAATTCTGCAGCGATATAACTATGTATGCAACATATTAATCCCAAGGATTCAATAGATATTTTATTACTCTCATGTGTAAGGAGAAGAAATTTTGCATCATAATAATAAAAGGTGTGCACCGGCACATACAGAATCAAAATAATGTCACAATAAGTGAGAAATTCTGAAATTCTTGACTGTTTAAGTCAGTTCAAATTGCCTGATGCATCAAGTTGTGTTGATTACATGTTTTGTACTTGCTACAGGGGATACATTTTTATTTCATGAAGAGACAAGTCATGATGCTGAAGATAGACTTGACATAGGTTTATATATTCTAAATTTATTAATGCAGTAGCAACCCTCCCACTACAAGATTGGTAGTTTGATTCTCAGCTGATTTCAGGTCAGTTTAGAAAACCTGTTGTAAGTAGTATTGTCCTACAGACACTAGCTGCTCATCTGTCATCTGACCCCTTGCTCATGTATACTCTGCTAGTTGTCCTTGTTAGTAGACCACTATGAACCTCTAAGAAGCTCAAGACTTAACAACATCTCCTGGGGTTTATACTCCAAAATTGCTACATGTATCCTAAGAATATAAGACCTTTTTCTTTGGCTGGTATATACCCCTTATCCTATTTAACACCAAGTATGTATTCAACATATAAATACGATGGTATTAATAAATGCCATGTTATCCAAAATCTTTAATATTTAGAGTCATTTAATTTTCACTGTAATATATACCTTTTACTCAGTGCCTTTAATGCTTTTAATTTGTTAAAATATAACTGATTTTGTTCTTTTTTTGTTTAATTATTTTTGTATATATTTCTTCACATATAACATTATTCCTATAATTGTGGAAGATGCTCCTAGTTTCTAAAGTTATTGAAACTGCAAAGATAAATTTTGCATTTTCTGATAATAATTTTATAGTTGACATTATTTATGTGTTAATATGTTTAAGAGTGTTGAGCTTTGGGTTGGATGGACTTGTGTTAGAATGCAGTATATTTCACTGATTCTTTGTTAGAGATTAAGTGATTTAGATATTTGACATTTCATTTCTTCATCCAATGCTAATATTAACTCCTGTCTCATAGATATTTTATGATGATTACATAAAATCAAGTATTGTTATAAAGTGTACTTGTAATAAAATAAAAGTAAAATGACATCATCGACAGAAACTTCTTCAGAGAATTAGTCTGCATCTCACTTCTCTAAAGTTCTCTCACACATTGTCAACACTATTAACAATTAATTACCAAAATGATTTTTATGTCTGTTCTTCCTATTTTTTGCTTATCTCTAAGTCCACACACCCTCTCATACATATTTTTTATCACTCACAGTGCCAAACACAAAATGGGATATATTATAAAATGTTAATAAGAAAATTAACCTACCAAATCTTTGTGAGCAAATTATATATCAGAAAATAATGGTTTTCCTTCTGGTAAAACACATTTACTTTGTGATTATCAATATTTTATACTCATTCAACCATCAAAATATTTTTTCTTCCTACTTACCTCAACAGAACTAAACATTAAAAAAATAATATTCTATCCAAAATATGAACCATGAATAAAATAACATTTTGATTTTAGTTAGATCAGTTGAGCAGCCTTTTAGTAATGTCATAATTTCTTTTTTTAGGTGCTCTTTCCCCAGCCCAATCAGTAATTATAGTGCTGACATGATTATCTGTATACATTTTGGGTACAGGGAGGAAAAAACAAAATAAAACATAACAATATAGATAATATAGATATAGATGATATGCAGATAGATAGATAGATAGACAGACAGACAGACAGATAGATAGACAGATAGATAGATAGATTTAGAGATACTAAGTTTATCATCAACTTAATTCCCTAGTGGACTTTTTTCTTTTTTTTAAATTAATTTGTTTTTGTTACAGATGTTTCTCTGTTTTTCCCCAATAACACGCTCATCCCATCCCCCCTGCCTCATCCCCCCTTTGTTGTCTATGTCCATTGATTATGCATACATGCATATAAGTTATGTGGTTTATCTCTCCCCCCGCAACCCCTCTTCCTCTGAGGCTTGTCAGTCTGTACCCCACCTCTATGTCTCTAGGTCAATTTTGTTCATCAGTTTGTTTAATTCATTATATTCCACAAATAAGTAAGATCATGTGATATTTTTCTTTTTCCGTTTGGCTTGTTTCACTTAGCATAATACTCTCCAGGTCCCTCATGTTGTCTCAAAGGATAAGAGATCTTTCTTCCTTATAGCTGCATAGTGTTCTATTGTGCATATGTACCACAGCATTTTTATCCACTCACCTTCTAATGGACACTTGGGTTGTTTCCAGATTTTAGCTATTGTAAATAGTGCTGCTATGAACATGGGGTACATATATTCTTTCTCATTGGTGTTTCAGGCTTCTTAGGGTTTTTTCCTAGAAGTGGAATCACTGGGTCAAATGGCAGTTCAATTTTTAATTTTTTGAGGTAACACCATAGTATTTTCCATAGTGGCTGCACTGGTCTGCATTCACACCAGTCTGCATTCCCACCAACAGTGTACTAGAGTCCCCTTTTCTCCACACCCTTGCAAACACATTGTTTGATGCTTTGTTGATGGCAGCGATTCTGACAGTTGTGAGGTGATATCTCATAGTTGTTTTAATTTGCATCTCTCGGATGATTAGTAATGTTGAGCATTTCTTCATATGTCTCTTGGCCACTTGTATGTCCTTTTCGGAGAGGTGTCTATTTAGGTTCTCTGCCCATTTTTTAATTGGGTTCTTTCTCTTCCTTTTGTTGAGTTGTATGAGTACCCTATATGTTGGAAATTAACCCCTTATCTGATGTATCATTGGCAATTAAGGTCTCCCATATAGTGAGATACCTTTCCATTTTGATGGTTGTTTCTTTTGCTGTGCAGAAGCTTTGAGTTTGATGTAGTCCCATGTGTTTATTTTGTTTGTTTGTTTCTCTTCCCTTAGGTGTTGTATCAATGAAAATTCTGCTGTGTATGATGTCTGAAATATTGTTGCCTATATTTTCTTCTATAATTTTTATGGATTCATGAGTTACATTTAAGTCTTTCATCTATTTTGGGTTTATTCTCTTGTATGCTGTAAGTTGGTGTTCTAGCTTTATTTTATTGCAAGTCTCTGTCCAATTTTCCCATCACCACTTATTGAAGAGACTGTCTTGACTCCACTGTATGCTCTTGCCACCTTTGTCAAATATTAATTGAGCATATTGTCTTGGGTCAATTTCTGGGTTCTCTATTCTGTTCAATTGATTTATCTGCCTGTTCTTGTGCCGGTACCAGGCTATTTTGATTACAGTGGCTCTGTAGTATAACCTGAAGTCTGGTAATGTGATCCCTCCTACTTTGTTCTTCTTTTCAAGATTGCTGTGGCCATTTGGGGTCTTTTTTGATTCCATATAAACTTTTGGAGTGTTTGTCCTAGTTCTGTGAAATATGTCATTGGTATTTTGATGGGTATTGCATTGAATCTATAGATTGCTTTGGGTAGTATGAACATTTTAATGATGTTAATTTTTCCAATTCATGAACAAGGTATATGCTTCCACTTTTTATATCTTCCTCTATTTCTTTTTTCAATGGCCTGTAGTTTTCTTTGAAGAGGTCCTTTACTTCTTTGGTTAAGTTTATTCCTAGGTATCTTAATTTTTTTGCTGCGATGGTAAATGGGACTGTTTTTTAATTTCTTTTTCTGTGATTTCATCATTGATGTATAAGAATGCCGTCAATTTCTTGAAGTTAATTTTGTATCCTGCTACGTTGCCAAATTCATTTATTTACTCTAGTAGATTTTTGATGGAGTCTTTAGGGGTTTCTATCAGCAATATCATGTGATCTGTGAATAATGACAGTTTCACTTCCTCTTTTCCAATTTCCCCCTTTATTTTTCTTCATGTCTAATTACTGGGGCTTAGACTTTCAGTACTATGTTAAATAATAGTATAGAAAATGGTCATCCTTGTCTTGTTTCGTTCTTAAGAGGAATGCTTTTAGATTTTGCCCATTGAGTATAATGTTGGCTGTAGGTTTTTTATATATGGCCTTTATTATGTTGAGATATGATCCCTCTATTCCCACCTTGCAGAGTGTTATCAGAAATGGGTGCTTGGTTTTGTCGAATGTTTTTCAGCATCTATTGATATGATCATATTGTTTAAATCTTTCCTTTTGTTTATGTGGTGTATCACATTTATTGATTTGCAAATATTGTACCATCCTTGCATGACTGGGATGAAACCCACTTGGTCATGATGAATAATTTTTTTTTGATGTATTGCTGGATCCAATTTGCTAATATTGTGTTAAGGATTTTGGCATCTGTGTTCATCAGGGATATTGCCTGTAGTATTCTTTCTTTGTAGTGTCTTTATCTGGTTTTAGAAGTAGGATTATTCTGGCCTCATAAAATGAGTTAGGATGTGTTTCGTCTTCTGGATATTTTTGGCATAGTTTGAGGAGAATGGGTATTAGATCTTCTCCTGTGAAGCCATCTGGGCCTGGGCTTTTGTTTTGCTGGGAGATTCTTAATTACATCTTTAATTTCCTTCATTGGTATTGGTCTGTTCAAGTTTTCTATCTTTTCCTGGTTCAGTTTTGGAAGGCTATTTGTTTCTAAAAATTTGTCCACTTTCCCTAGATTGTCTAATTTGTTGGCATACAATTGTTCATAGTATGTTTCGATGATCCTTTGCATTTCTGGTGTGTCAGTTGTGACTTCTCCCCTTTCATTTCTGATTTTGTTTATTCTTTTTCTCTTTTTTGTTTGTTTGTTTGTTTCTTGGTGAATCTGGCTAAGGGTCCATCGATCTTGTTTATCTTTTCAAAAAACCAGCTTATTTTTTCACTGATCTTTTGTATTTTTAGTCTCTATGTCATTTATTTCTGCTCTGACCTTTACTATTTCCTTCCTTCTATTAGCTCTGGGTTTT